GTAGCGCGTCAATTCTCTCTCTCCCTCTCTCGCTGCGTGTGTGTGAAACAAAGCGACGGCGAGTCGTGCGCTTCACATTAGAGTTTACATACAGGTTAAATACATGTTAAATACATGTGCGTTGCACATCCATTCAGATGAACTGAAAAACAGCCCAGATCGCTTGACGGAGAGTGAAACTGATGCGCTCAGTCAGAGAGTGTTCGGCGAGTGAAAATATATCTGAGCTAAACTTATACTTGTACACTTAGCCTCCAACTCACACACTGGCGAGTAAAATCTGAGAATTTATTAGCAATTGGCTAATATTAGACATCATTTAGTCGCCCAGAGTGAAGATTTAGTCACATATGTGAGTGATTTACTTGCAATGTAGAGGGTTGTTGAGTAAAAAATAAATTAATAAAAAATAATTTTCATTACTTTTCCAGGTCTTTAAAATTAGACTACCTCATATATTCAGGTGTTTATAGACTGTGTGAGTCCTGGTTCTGCTTTATTTTAATGCTTGTTTTGTCTTATTTTAAACCCTGTCAAGTTATATTGAGGCCCCCTGGTTGAGAACTACTGATGTAAAGTGAGAAAATTAATCATGACAATTACTTTAATATATATGAAGTGCATGAGATACCTGACCTACCTGTACTAGTGGTCGACCGATATTGGTTTTTTTGACAGCCGATGCCGATATCTTGGAAAGCAGGGTGGCTGATATAAAGCTGATATTATAGCTGAACTCTCCTCCTGTCCGTATGCAATTCGCACGGACCGACCATCATGCAGAGTACACGTGATCGTGCAGGATACAAATGCACACTTCATAAGATCTCACAGCTGGATTCAACTAAGTTTGCAAGGTATTTGAAATTAGATGTTCATTAGTCATTCAAAGATTTGTTTAAATTATGTAAATGCGTATTTGCTGAATGCTGACGGCAAACGAGAAATTATATTACTAGCAATATAAAAGCAATTGTTATAATACTTTTTTTTAATACATTTTAATTCCTTTGTTTAACAGTTCTATCTGATTATTAGACAGACTTCTGTCCGTGGACAGAACTGTTAATGACGACAGCGAACAAGAGGGAGTATCCCTGCGTTCCATTCAGAAGGGCTCATCCCTATGCCCTAATCCCTTCAAAGGGTTTACCCTCTGGAGTGAGAGCTTCGAAGGGTTGAAGGGTGTAGGGGGCCAAACAACTGTTTCTTGAAATGCCCTTCTGCGTCATCATCACGTGCCCACATGGAGGCGCCGTCATCGTGCATAGAATCTGCACAAAGGATCATGGCAGCCCGAAGTGTCCATCAGTTGTACCCTTCGAAATCCTTCATTCCGAAGGACCCTTTGAAGTGGCCAGTTTTGAGCACTTCGGTTTGGAACGACCCTTCAATATGGCGGCGAATTTATTAGCAATTGGCTAATATTAGACATCATTTAGTCGCCCAGAGTGAAGATTTAGTCACATATGTGAGTGATTTACTTGCAATGTAGAGGGTTGTTGAGTAAAAAATAAATTAATAAAAAATAATTTTCATTACTTTTCCAGGTCTTTAAAATTAGACTACCTCATATATTCAGGTGTTTATAGACTGTGTGAGTCCTGGTTCTGCTTTATTTTAATGCTTGTTTTGTCTTATTTTAAACCCTGTCAAGTTATATTGAGGCCCCCTGGTTGAGAACTACTGATGTAAAGTGAGAAAATTAATCATGACAATTACTTTAATATATATGAAGTGCATGAGATACCTGACCTACCTGTACTAGTGGTCGACCGATATTGGTTTTTTTGACAGCCGATGCCGATATCTTGGAAAGCAGGGTGGCTGATATAAAGCTGATATTATAGCTGAACTCTCCTCCTGTCCGTATGCAATTCGCACGGACCGACCATCATGCAGAGTACACGTGATCGTGCAGGATACAAATGCACACTTCATAAGATCTCACAGCTGGATTCAACTAAGTTTGCAAGGTATTTGAAATTAGATGTTCATTAGTCATTCAAAGATTTGTTTAAATTATGTAAATGCGTATTTGCTGAATGCTGACGGCAAACGAGAAATTATATTACTAGCAATATAAAAGCAATTGTTATAATACTTTTTTTTAATACATTTTAATTCCTTTGTTTAACAGTTCTATCTGATTATTATCGCCACGAATGCCCTTCTGCGTCATCATCACGTGCCCACATGGAGGCGCCGTCATCGTGCATAGAATCTGCACAAAGGATCATGGCAGCCCGAAGTGTCCATCAGTTGTACCCTTCGAAATCCTTCATTCCGAAGGACCCTTTGAAGTGGCCAGTTTTGAGCACTTCGGTTTGGAACGACCCTTCAATATGGCGGCCATGATTGTTTTCACACCGAAGTGCCCTTTGGAGGGCGATATATCCCGTTTGTAACGCACTGAATGTGAGCGCTGTGTTTTCAGGCGCTGCCGCTCTCAGCGCCGTCAAAATAAAAGTCCGGCGCACCGTCAAAAAAGTCCCACCACGAACGCATTGGCCAAACAGAAAAACTTATCGGCCAATGCCGATATTTGAAAAATGCCAAATATCGGCCATGGCGATATATCGGTCGACCACAAACCTGTACTGTAGGATTTGCCTCCATGACTTCAGTAGCATGTGCACGCTGCAAGGCAGACTCCTGAACAGCGGTCCTGGACCCTGACAGCCGAGGAGTGGCTTTTTCTGCCTCATCTGGTGGCGCTGAATCCTCCTGTTGAGAGGCTTGCATTAACACAGAGGTCGTCTGCTCCTGGACCTGGGCCACCAGGTCAGCCTCTATCATCTCTGCCACTGCACGGTCCAGTCGCTGGTCAAGCTCCCAGTGAGACAGCGGCTCCCATTCAGCCTGGATCACGTCCATTATCACCCGTCCTGCAGCCGCCACGTTCTTTTTACGAGCCTCCATCTGGATGCAATATATAGGAGTCAAGTACGGTGGCCGAGAGAGCTCAACGCGCTGCAACTTCAGAAAACACATGCAAATAGAAAAAGCACCAGCAAATTAAGAAAACATCTTCATCAGTTTGACAGCAGATGCTGCAAATACTCACAACACAATCAAATACAAAAACACGCTGCAAATGCTCCCAACACAACCAAATAAAGAAACGCGCAGCAAATATTCACAACACAACCAAATACAGAAACGCAAGTACACACCACAACGGACGGACCCCAACAATGCCAAAATTACAGAGAGAGAGCAAGCGCAAATCCTGGCAGCGGCAACAAAACGAAAATTAACCATGTTTTTTTTTTTTTATTGATTACCATTTCTATAACCACAGTTGTACAAATACCATGGTTAAACTATGGTTAGTGTAGTAAATCCATGGTTAATTTGTGGTTACCATGGTTTAACTATAGTAACCATTTTTTGTTTTTATTTATTTTTTTACATAAATGTATTTATTAATTAATAAATTTTTAATAGTAAAACCATATGGTTAATTTTTGTAAGGGAAGTTGTAAAGTTAGCCAGCTTACATGCTTTCACAGTTACAGTAATTGTGTATTTCGTCAGCTTATTTAGGCTAATAATTTCAACAACAAAAAAAAGAAGCAGTAGCAAAGGAATGGTATGATCAGGATGTTAAAATAAACAAAAATCTCACCTTTCAGAGCAAACATTGATAAATATGTGCCAGCCATGTTCATCACTTTGAGGTTCCCTTAAACACTGAACGATGTGGTCTGTGCCTATTTGCAGCGCGTTTCTTTATTTGTTTGTGTTGTGAGTATTTGCAGCGCGTTTCTGTTTTTGCAGCGAGTTTCTTTATTTGGTTGTGTTGTGAGCATTTGCAGCGAGTGTGTTGTCAAATTGATTTAGATGTTTTCTTAATTTGCAGGTGTTTTTTTCTATTTGCATGTGTTTTTTCATTTGCAGCGCGTTGAGCTCTCTCGGCCACCGTAGTCATGGGATGAAGGCAGCTAGCCAAGTAAGTAGGGTCTCTCAAAAAACATACGCTAAACGTTGCTAACGGTGCTATTACAATAGATTCAGCAGAGTAACTGGAATACATATCTCAGTTTAAGCAATAATGAGGGTAAAACCAGTCAGATATGTCAGTAGATCCAAGCGCTATAACTTCACTGTGCAAAATGAATGAACTAACGTTAAGTTAACTAATATGGATAGCTCAACTAGTGATTGAGTCAACAGACAGACGCGATTTTGAAATGAAATAAAAGTCTTGAAACCTAAATTTCTTAATGGCGCGACCATATTAATTATAACCTGAAACCACAACACGGAGAATATATTTGAATTGACAGACCTTTAAAAAAGACGATCCTCTCTTTCCATTAGCTTCTGTTGTTAGACAGATGTACCTACCGCTCATGCGCACATTCAACAACTATGATTGGTCCAATAAGATTTCTTCTTCTTCCGTTTTTTGGCGCGTTACATCCTGTGTGCATATCGCCACCTACTTTTGCTGTTTTGTAGTCATGGTTTATTTATAATCAATTTCTTCCTTGTTTTTGCTTTTCCTATTCTTACTACACACGTATACACACAAATATTCCTACTTAAATAATTATTCGATGCTCCATCCCCTATAAGATTTCAATACGACATCTATCTCTTAACTAAATCTCGCTTAACGGCAAAGTAATACAATGGTCATGACTTTAATACAGTGACAGAAATAAAAGGTGTTATAGCAAAAAGACTGTAAATTATGTCTCTTTACGAATCTTTGTTTTATAGGCTACACTATTCTGTACATAGGAAACTGTCGATATACCCATTTTTCTCATTCAACTTGTTCTCTACTAGACTCAGTCTGAATTTGATTGATACTAGTAGTGAGTGACTGGAGGTCCGACCTGACATTTCAATGAATTGGATTTTAATTTTTTAAATAAGTGTTTATTGCAGTTTCATGTTGAAAATAATTTAAACAAATTCATGTGAAACCTGTAAATATAATTAGCATTAAGCAATACTCATTTCTAAAACTAATATTTTCTTTGAAAAGAATTAAAGGACGTTTTAATAAAATACTACTTATTTAAACCAACTCTGTTTCGTATTCTTGTTGATCAAGTCGTAAACATATTTCCAGTATGTAACATTTCTGCTATTCAGCTGTTAAAGTAACTTACATCAGCCAAGCCCTCCAAATACACTTACTCATTACGAATGCGAGACGGTTCTCGGTTCAATGAATCGTCGAATTCATTGAAAAGTTCCAGGGCACCTAAAACCCCAGATATTACAGAAGTTTTGGGTAATGTTTTTGCAGGAATGTGATTGTGTACTGTTTTCTGTGTACTTTGTGTGTGTGTGTTGCTTGGTTTTACCAATACAGAAACTGAAAACGAATTTCATCTTATAAATCTTTCACTTCTAAGTTTCAAATGCATAAATGCAAATTTTCCAATATCAAATCACATTTAAGGCGTTTTCAACTAATTTCAGTAATATTTTGAAACACTTCTGAAAACACTGAAGCGAGGAAATCTTTTCATATTTCTTGTAAATTTTCTTCCCCCTGGCTTTTGTTGCTCTTTTCTTTTGTTCTATTGTGGGCTGTTATTCTGTTATATAACAATTACATCTGCATGTTTATATAAATAATAATAATTAAAAAACAAAAACTAAAGCCCCAAAAGCAACACCATTAAAAAACAGACGCTGAACATTAGACAAGGAGTGGAAAAGGGCTGATTTTAATTCATTTAAACGCAGTTACAGATACTGCAGCATGATTTTCTTTTGTTTTTAACTTTTTGTTTGTTTGTTTTTGCAAGAGTACTGTGTCACATTTAAGGCGTTTTCAACTAATTTCAGTAATATTTTGAAACACTTCTGAAAACACTGAAGCGAGGAAATCTTTTCATATTTCTTGTTAATTTTCTTCCCCCTGGCTTTTGTTGCTCTTTTCTTTTGTTCTATTGTGGGCTGTTAGTCTGTTATATAACAATTACATCTGCATGTTTATATAAATAATAATAATTAAAAAACAAAAACTAAAGCCCCAAAAGCAACACCATTAAAAAACAGACGCTGAACATTAGACAAGGAGTGGAAAAGGGCTGATTTTAATTCATTTAAACGCAGTTACAGATACTGCAGCATGATTTTCTTTTGTTTTTAACTTTTTGTTTGTTTGTTTTTGCAAGAGTACTGTGAAGGAACACTTCCGTCACTGAGAAGAATAGGGGCGATTAGGATTCAGTTTTTTTTTTTTTTTTTGGGATGAACACAATGTCAGCATTTGTGTTAAAGTTAAACATTCACTTGTTCAAGCAACTGTGCCCAAAGACTTCATTCTTATTGATCTTTACATTTTAACTTGATTCTTTCCACCATTTTAAAATGCCACACACACACACACGCACAAAAAAAACCTTACTAGCATTTACACTCCCCTTTGATTTAAATACAAATTCGGGGAATTAAATGTCAATACTTAAGCTTCCAAACAAATATTCAAAAAGAAAGAAGCGGACACTAACTCCTCCAACACAAAACTGTAAAGAAAAGCAAAACACACTTCAGGAAGCAACAATGCGAGTGGAAAAATGTATTTACAATGAAACCACTTTATGTCAGAATTCACCTTAACCATGTGCTATGTATTCATTTGCAGGTATAACCTGACGGCATCCATGCCCATTCTGATGTTCAGTAAGTTCTATGTGCATTTACACTATATTATGTCGGTAACATAAAACGGTTCAGCCTATGGCCTTCTGCCCTCCAATAAAATTATGCAGGATCTAAATAAGAATAATTATAATATCAATATTCATTAACACACAACAGTGTACTGTAAATGCGATCAGTAAAGTGGGCATTTGTAAAACCTTACAGCCTCAAACACAAACCCACCCCGCCCCTAACATATTGAAACACACAAAAAGCACAAAACGTTTAACTCTCCAAACATAACATTTGTGTGAATTAAATAAGATGCACAGGTTTAAATACTCAGATATCTAACCACCTCTGACGGGTGATTAACAGCTGTCTGACAAATAAGCAATTCATTCAGAAATCAAGGGAAACTTTACCAAATCAAAATGGGACGTTGTGATTGGTGGATTAACCTGTAGATGAGCTGACACTGAACATTGGAAGGGGTTGCGACAATACAGTGAGAGTAAGCTGCTAGTGCTCGATGGGACGTGAGGAGTAACAGGGAGAGCGATTCAAATTCTCAGCAAAGTTACAATATCACACAAGATCACTCTCACTCATGCTCTTTTTGTAACTCAATACGCACCACCAACTTAAAACATGTGTTTTGGACACTCTTTACACCTCCCCCCCCAACCCTTTATCAGCAGTTCCTCCTTCACTGCACGGCTTGTTCGTTGGCAGTGCTGCCCGAGTCTTGAGGCTTCATAACATCAGGAAGCTCAGGAGGGCTGGAGAAGGCCTCTATTCTTAGAGGCTCAAAAGCATCATCTGTGATATAAAAAAAAAACAGACACGGTAGGCAAATTCAGATCACCAGATATCACATAGCGGGACACAAGGCAAGCGATTGAAACAAGAGCTCACCACTGATGCGAAAAGCCAGTCCTACTGTGGCCGGAGCCTGAGGCCTGGCTGTCTGGTTTGTGAACCCACAGTCTCCAAGAGTCTTACTATCTTCTAGAAGCATGTCATCCTGGGGGACATGAAGAGATTGTTTAATAAAATGCATAATATACTCAAAATCACTTCAACTCTAACTAGTCCACAACAGCCTAATTTTGATTTGCATGTGGTCATTCATAAATCTGACCCTGGACCACAAAACTAGTCATAAGGGTCACTTTTTCGAAATTGAAAAAGTGAATTTAAGCCGAATAAATAAGCTTTCCATTGATGTATGGTTTGTTAGGATAGGACAATGTTTGGCCGAGATACAACTATTTGAAAATCTGGAATCTGAGGGTGCAAAAAAAAAAATCTAAATATTGAGAAAATCACCTTTAAAGTTGTCCAAATGAAGTTCTTAGCAATGCATATTACTAATCAAAAATTAAGATTTGATATATTTACGGTAGGAAATTAACAAAATATATTAATGGAACATGATCTTTACTTAATATAGACCTTGTAACACTTCAAAGAGAAAGGAAAAATTTAAATCGCATGACCCCTTTAATATCTTAATGATTTTTGGCATAAAAGAAATATCAATAATTTTGACCCATACATTGTATTTTTGGCTATTGCTACAAATATACCCCAGCGACTGGTTTACAAATTGGTCATTCTTGTCGTGCAGTACATGACATGTTCCCACTGTTATTGTCTTAATACACGGGATAAAGTATCTCACAATTTTTTAAAGAATGAAATACTATTAGTTTGTAGAATTTTATCACATTATCTTCACTTTTTTTCTTTTCTATAATGTTGAATGTAGAATGTGTTTAAAACAAAAAATGTATTCCTGGGCATGCTGTTTAAAGTAATTAGTTTATGTTTTTCACTTTCCATTCTGTTAATCCTGTAAATGTATCTTGTAAATCTACGGGTTAATAAACCCGTTAGATATAATTTGTGGGTTTTCTTAGCTTAAGGGGTTTGAGCTAGTATTAGCAAAGGATTTGATTAATTCTGTGATGTTTTGTGGTATTAGTTTGTGTTACACACACTACCATTCAAACAGTCTGAAGACTCTAATGTAAACAAGACAGTACAAACAGTACTATTTTGAAATATTAATACAATTTAAAGAACTTCCCTATTTTAAATAATATTCTCAAATGTAGTTTATTATTGTCATGGCAAAGCTGAATTTTATACTCCAGTCTTCAGTGTTACATGATCCTTCATAAATCATTCCAATATGCTGATTTGCTGCTCAAGAAACATTTCTCATAATTAAAAATGTTGAAAACAGCTGTGCTGCTTAATATTTTTGTGGAAACTGTGATACATGTTTTTTTTTCCAGGATTCCTTGAATAATATAGCTCAAAATAACTGCATTTATTTGAAATAGAAATCTTTTGTAACATTCTAAATGTTTACTGTCACTTTTGAACAATTTCATGCATCCTTGCTAAATAAAAGTATTCATTTCTTTTTAAAATTCTTACCATCTCCAAATGTTGTAACAGTAAAGTGAAATTACATTATTTGGAATGCTTTTATTTCTACATAACAGGAACGACCCAACTACATACAAACTTCAGGATATACTAAAAGAATTGTAACATATAATAATTTCTATATTAATCATCATCATCATAACTTTCTTTGCTGACCTTATAAAGTCTCTGATCCTCTGGCGCTCGCTTTAGGATGCCCTCCACAATCCGCTTCAGCTCGTAGACTGTGGTAGACTCCTTAGCATCTGTGAAGATGGTTGTCTTGTGACGTCTGATCATCAAAAAGACATCCTGAAAAAACAACAAGGAGTCAGATATTCAGATATTCAACATTCAATCCCATCTCATTATCAACACTTCTTGATCTATACTAAGTTCAACCTTCCACAACCTCAACTCATGGCTCATTTGAACCTTACAGAACATTTCATGTCCTTCACACAACACAATGAAATATAAATCGACTTGGAAAAATAATAATGATAATAATAACAAACAACTAACTTCTATAACTCTCAACAACAAAGCTGTGTTTGTTGTAATTTACAGGAGGAACAATCAATGGCTTTTAAATAAAATAATGAAGAGAAAAGCAGATGGTGAACAGCTGAAACAAGCCAACTACACAACTGCAACGCTCTCTATACTGATGAAACGCTGACAGCTGCAGTTGTGTTAAATTGCTGTTGACTTAGTTACTAGCAACACCTAGGAAATGCAGCGCGTTTCTGCGCGGTTTGTTTATGCAAACAGCTAACCAGCATTATGAGGGGCTGTAAATTCAGTGATACTAACCGTAAACGCGACTAAACAATGTATAACGACGCCGGGTTATTGCAAGTTATCTTTATTATTCATCTACATTTACTGTGCGGATCGATTAAATGACTAGATGAGCATCTAAAAAGGCACAGCCCAGAATGATCAAATGACAGGACCAGACCGTTCCTGCATTATGGAGCTGTCATTAAAATAAACACCGCGATAAACAGCCCCGTTTCGGCTACAGAGAGTGCGCAGCTCATATACAAATAAAGAAAACAAACCCGTTTGCTCATCGGTTTTTAATATTGGCTGACCAGACCGGTGGTCGAGCGCAATGTGCTCCCAATCTAATTAGTAGCACAGTAAATTGGGCGGATTTAGCAGGGAATATTAGCCGGGCTGCTAAAAATATTGCGAAACAAAGAGGACTGTGTAAAGGCTGCGTTAACGCGCTAGCCACTTCAACCAGCAGCTAGCTTGCTCATAATCCTTCACAATTACATTTTCAAACTATAAAACGAATAAATACGTTTGATCTAGGTTTCATTTGCTTCCTCTCTCACCATTTCTCTGACTGTTTCGCTGACTTCTTCTAGTTTATTATTGTCATGGCAAAGCTGAATTTTATACTCCAGTCTTCAGTGTTACATGATCCTTCATAAATCATTCCAATATGCTGATTTGCTGCTCAAGAAACATTTCTCATAATTAAAAATGTTGAAAACAGCTGTGCTGCTTAATATTTTTGTGGAAACTGTGATACATGTTTTTTTTTCCAGGATTCCTTGAATAATATAGCTCAAAATAACTGCATTTATTTGAAATAGAAATCTTTTGTAACATTCTAAATGTTTACTGTCACTTTTGAACAATTTCATGCATCCTTGCTAAATAAAAGTATTCATTTCTTTTTAAAATTCTTACCATCTCCAAATGTTGTAACAGTAAAGTGAAATTACATTATTTGGAATGCTTTTATTTCTACATAACAGGAACGACCCAACTACATACAAACTTCAGGATATACTAAAAGAATTGTAACATATAATAATTTCTATATTAATCATCATCATCATAACTTTCTTTGCTGACCTTATAAAGTCTCTGATCCTCTGGCGCTCGCTTTAGGATGCCCTCCACAATCCGCTTCAGCTCGTAGACTGTGGTAGACTCCTTAGCATCTGTGAAGATGGTTGTCTTGTGACGTCTGATCATCAAAAAGACATCCTGAAAAAACAACAAGGAGTCAGATATTCAGATATTCAACATTCAATCCCATCTCATTATCAACACTTCTTGATCTATACTAAGTTCAACCTTCCACAACCTCAACTCATGGCTCATTTGAACCTTACAGAACATTTCATGTCCTTCACACAACACAATGAAATATAAATCGACTTGGAAAAATAATAATGATAATAATAACAAACAACTAACTTCTATAACTCTCAACAACAAAGCTGTGTTTGTTGTAATTTACAGGAGGAACAATCAATGGCTTTTAAATAAAATAATGAAGAGAAAAGCAGATGGTGAACAGCTGAAACAAGCCAACTACACAACTGCAACGCTCTCTATACTGATGAAACGCTGACAGCTGCAGTTGTGTTAAATTGCTGTTGACTTAGTTACTAGCAACACCTAGGAAATGCAGCGCGTTTCTGCGCGGTTTGTTTATGCAAACAGCTAACCAGCATTATGAGGGGCTGTAAATTCAGTGATACTAACCGTAAACGCGACTAAACAATGTATAACGACGCCGGGTTATTGCAAGTTATCTTTATTATTCATCTACATTTACTGTGCGGATCGATTAAATGACTAGATGAGCATCTAAAAAGGCACAGCCCAGAATGATCAAATGACAGGACCAGACCGTTCCTGCATTATGGAGCTGTCATTAAAATAAACACCGCGATAAACAGCCCCGTTTCGGCTACAGAGAGTGCGCAGCTCATATACAAATAAAGAAAACAAACCCGTTTGCTCATCGGTTTTTAATATTGGCTGACCAGACCGGTGGTCGAGCGCAATGTGCTCCCAATCTAATTAGTAGCACAGTAAATTGGGCGGATTTAGCAGGGAATATTAGCCGGGCTGCTAAAAATATTGCGAAACAAAGAGGACTGTGTAAAGGCTGCGTTAACGCGCTAGCCACTTCAACCAGCAGCTAGCTTGCTCATAATCCTTCACAATTACATTTTCAAACTATAAAACGAATAAATACGTTTGATCTAGGTTTCATTTGCTTCCTCTCTCACCATTTCTCTGACTGTTTCGCTGACTTCTTCCACTATCCCACGCTGCACTGCGGAAATCAGAGCGCTCGAGCCAGTCCTCCACAATCCCAGATGTCTTTGCGCGAGCGGCGTGAACTCTTTTCTGTGCCGGAGACGGTCGCGCCCTAGTGGCCTCACATCATTCAACACTTGTTGCTCAGGCACAAACCATTTTAATATAAGTTGAATGTACAGTTTTGGCTATTTCTGTAAAAAGTAATCCTTGTGCATTTACTATTTATTCATGGTGTAGCATTAACAATTGTTTTCATTTGGATTACTGGAATAGCCAAATCTGTTGATTAGAATGGGATGTGCACATACTTAGCTATTTAGTGTACATTCTAGAAGATATCTGGGACTGTCTTGCAAATACAAATAGATATGAAACACACAAAGACGTGACAACAACAGGAGTATAAACAGTTTACTCTAAGCAAGACCTTGATGGAATAAACTTTGTTGAGTCAACATTATAAAAGGTTTATTTGAAAAGTAAAAAAATAAACATGCACACTTCATTTCAGACCCCCACAATATCCTTTAGGATTGCCTGCAACTCACAGGAGTATTTGTGGATTTATTAACATTAGATTATCTTTTCTCAATCTAGTCAAAACTATTATTTATAAAAACTACATATGACCAAAGAAAACCATGTCTTTTCCCACTCCTTTCCAAGCAGTTAATTTCACAGTTAGTACTACTTTTTTAAATACCTTTAATGGTATGTATTCACAATGCTGCAAACAATTTCAATATGAAAATCACAAATAGCATCTCAGTCTGGGTCTCTATGACTTTTAATGGCTTGTTATTTTTCATCCTTCGCCCATGTAGTCTTTACTGAGCTCCTTTCCTCACTGGACCTTCAGTTTGAAGTCACACACCGGTTACAATAGACACACTAGCAACAGAGGAAACAAAAAACCCTGTTGGTTTAGTAGCAGCAATTTTTTTTATTTCTTTATAAAAATGTAATGACAAGGTACAACAATATTACTACACAGTAATAACATACATCTGTTAATTCACACTTAGCCTACCTGTTTTTTCGCTTTATGAAACAACAATGCAGTCCGCTGATTCTCCTGTGTTAGCAAAAGTTGAATGATAATGACCACAGATGTGAAGGAAATGCAGATAGACAGGTAAACAGATTTGGATATGAGATGATCATACTCACGGAATATTCGTTTTAGTGCCTCAATTTCTTTCAAAGGGTTTGGTTTCTGGATTTTGAAGGTGTATTTCGCAAGGTCATCTTCACTGAGCTTGATTCGGACAAAAGCCAAACACTCAAATTTAATAACATACTTTATGCATACACTACTATTCAAAAGTTTGAGGTCATTAGGATTTTTCTTGGAAGAAATTAAGCAATATTAAAATGATTTCAGAAGGATCACATGTGACACTGAAGACTGAAGTAACTGCTGCTGAAAATTCAGCTTTGCCATTACAGAAATTAATTATATTTTAAAATACATTACTATTGAAAACCTATTTTGAATTGTAATAATATTTAACAATATTACTGTTTTTACTGTATGTGTGATTTAAAAATTAAGCCTTGGTGAACATTAGATACCTCTTTCAAAAACATAAAAATCTTCCCGACCCCAAACACAACAGTAGTTTATATGAATTATTATTTTGTACATAAATGTGCAGAATCACAAAACGAAACTTTACTGCATTTGTCCATATCTATACAAAATTGCTAATAACAGAGCAATTCCACTGCTGACTCTTGACATAATCATAACCAATAGTTGCCAGTGTGAACAAAGCGGTTGCAATATCACAGTACATACTGGCTGATCTCTTGGCGATGTATAAGGTTTAGTTCCCTCACTGCGATGAAGGGACAGAGGTCTGTATTTGGTTTCTGGGTGCACACTGCAGTTGAAGCGCAGCACACTGACAGGCAAATGAACATGCCAACTGTCTGGATACTTCTTCACCAGACTTTCCACCATACTGTAAAGAAACCATACCACAAATGTTTCTAAATAACTTTGTAACTAAACTAAAATTAACAAAAAATTACTAAAATTGTGATTTATGTCCAACAACTGGGTAACTAAACTTACTTAATGTGGTATTGTGTGTGAGGTTCAAGCTGTGATGCCGAGAGACGAGGGAAATGTCCTTTTTTTTATCAGAATATTATTGAGTGCTCTGTTAACCTTGACAAAAAATAAGCAAAAAGGGAAAAGATTAAAAAGTAAACTGTATTGAGACATTTAAGAAACCTTTCAGCAAATTTCAATGAAAAATGTTACGATTATAAATAATTAAACCTGCACTAATTGCTCTGACATTACCCCGTGAGAATCATAATGCAGAACTTACCGTTCTGACCTGAATCTCTCTAGCCCCCCAAGGTGTGAGAAATCCCAGAGGAAAACCGTATCGGGAAATGGCATCACACATGAGCAGGGCGATGGAATCAGAATTTGGCTTTTCTGATGGAAAGATTTCAATCCACTTGGGGTAATAATCACAGATGACCACGATGTGGCTATAGGGGCCTTTGCTTTCTTGAAATGGCCCTGTTACATCTATACTCAGCCACTGCTATCTCTCTGTCACCTAGAAAGTGGAAACATTAAGATAAAAGAAGATCAGAAGTTACGGGTAAAACTATGTTACGCCACATTTTAAATGACATTTCACTTTCATAACTATTATGGCTACTATTTTATGTCTTCACACAGAAATCACAGCTGTTAAAGAGGACTGAAAAGGACAAATCTGTAAAAGGCATACCCTGATAAACTGAGTGTTTGGATTTTCAGGTGTTTCAAGAGGTGCATCATCATAGGCGACATCATTTCCGGGATCCTACACATACATATAAAGAATCAAATGAAAAACACCATTCAGGAGACTATTTCCAGATCTGTAACGCTTAAGTTTTTACATTTACAGATTGAAATAATGTAAAGGTCTACATACTCTAGCATCATCATCATCACCCTCATCATCACCCTCCGAAAGCTTCATCCAGTAAAAGCTCTGTGAAAACCAATTGAGTGGTGTAATATGTACAAGTGTATGAGATGTTCTACAAAAGGAAGCCAAAAATCAACAATTATTAACCTGTGGTTTGCAGTAGTCATCATGGAAGCTGCCAGCGTGCAAGGGACCACGGCTGGACCCATCAGCATCCACAGGCACACGAACAAACTTCCCCTCAAGCCTATCAAACCCATGAACAGGAGATGTTAAGTAGTAAAACAACAAGAGAAAATGACTTATTTGGCAGAAAATTGTTATAGGCTAACAAACACATTACCATGGTGTTTCTGGTGCTGACACTGGGGTTGGTTTTGGTTTGATAGAAACTTCAACTGGCTTACGATTCTGAAACACAAATAAACCAATAGTGGGTTTAGAAATAATAATAAAAGATGAAAAGACTTACTAATCGAGCTTTAAAACAGTGGTTCTCAATTGGATGATCTGAGGACCCAGATTTTACACTGAATATTAAGTGGTGTCCCAGTAGAGCAGGGATTCCTGAAGTACCTTCTTGAAGTACCCCCTGAGATTTTAAGTTAATATTTCAATCATTTAACAGCGCATTTGCATGTCCACAGTTCTCTGATGTTAGTTAATTTTAAAATTATTTTAAGTTTAACTTTTTTTATGATTCAATTAATTATTAGCTTTATATCAAACCTTTATATCAGCTTTATATGCAGTTCTCTCACAAACTCCAGTTTGGGAAACCCTGCAACAGAGCAGGAAATCTATTGTATCCTAACACAAAAATTGATATATATTCAAATATTTAGTTTATTAATATTACCATAAACTGCATCATGTATATAGAAAATAATTACAAAATTATTAACATGACAAAAGCTGAAAAGGAAAGCCAATAATTCTGCATTATTTGGAAATGCCTTGATGTAAAGTACCACTGCTTTCTGGAAATGTATTAACTAAAATTGTTTATACATACCAGAGATCGTCTTAACAGCTGGTACCTGTGTGTAAGACACCAAAATAAAAATAAAAATTAATGAAAAGGACATTTGGACTATACAGCAGCAATGCAAAAAATACGTAACGTTACGTTTGCATAACATTTTACAGACATACACAAACTGTTCTGACTTGCCTTCCACTGCAGATGTTTTGGGAAATTAAAGATAGTAGGAACCGCATTTTTGAGCAATCGTTTGTGACTGCCTACTTGTTCAAAGCAGTCCTTCTCAAAATGATCCGAGCACAGGACTGAGTTTCCAGTTGGCCACCAGTTCTGCCATCTCATCCGACGGAGCTCTCACTCTCACGCGCGCGAACTGAGTTTTGTGGAGAAAATGTTTGTTTCGCAAAGAAGAAAGTATTTCGAGCGCACGAAAATCTATTTTGCATTTAAAATAAGTTTTTGGATGTGTGCAGACCTTCTCTTTTGCGCGTGCAA